CAGCCCACTGTTTTCGCGACGTCATTCCAAAGGTCGTCGAAACCATCGTCGAGTCATTTATTTGTTAGGACAGTCGCTGATAAGACGTGACCAGAAAAGCAAGGCTCTCATAAAGCAGGCCGATACAGGAATTGAAGTCTGTGCCCTATCGGGATATTGACTCTTTTCATTGAGTACGATGTACTTCGTCCTTTGTTTATATGCCTTTTGATATCTTTTGGCACGTTTGTTGTTCTTTGGAAACGGCCAAAAAGTAAGGCGGAACAGTGCTGATCCAATTATTCGAGATTAAATATTGCGTTACTGCTTCTACAATGGCCTGCTGGCATCGCTGTGAGAACGATGCGAACATCATCTTCGACTTCGTGTATAGTACTGCCTCCAATAATTGCTTGTCGTAAGCTCGATTATCAGCTCAATTTTTTTGGCTACTTTTTTACCGCAAAAACAAACAAGGTGGCAGAGGTTTACCAACGCCGATGACTTCATTCCACCTCGGCAAAATACAGTATCTACTTGGTAAAGAAATTCGTAGAGATTGCATCGCCGCTAACGATCGCGTTCGTAAATCGACGTGATTATCAGTAGAACGTACACTGTGAAGAAATTGTGATTTTATCTGGTCCAGCCGATGAACAAGACTTCACTGATTGGGGCGGAACGGCAATCCGCAGGTATCGAGCGCTCAGAAACAAAAAAGAGGTAGTAACGATAGTTAGGCGGAGGTAGCAGGAGGTAACAACCGCGCAAAGATCAAGAAACGGAACGGATAAAACGGATAGCTACATATAATTCAACTGTTTTTAACTGTACTCAGCATCCTACAAATTCAGCTGTGTACTTACTACACGATTTTATGATACCTAGTAGTTCAATGTAATAGATAAACAGGTTAATTACGGAGCTTTAGGAGATGCAACGATATGGAAGCCCGCCGGGATCTAGCGGCATGTTGTGGCCAAGCGTTGCGTAGTACCAATTAGTACCCTTATTATATTCTAATTAATAGAATATAAAATCAGGCTATATATTTTGTGCCATATATTTGATTTATGGGTAAAGATTACATGGAGCCTCTAGTAATTTCTTCGTTTTTGACGTCTATCGTCTCGGTCCAGTGAGGGCCTGCTCCTGCAATATTGTGCGAAGGCCGTTTCCTTGAAACTTCAAACGTTGCATAGTACGATCCAAACCGGCGATATTCACAACGGCAGCCAACGTATCCTTAAGATTCATAATTGTTAATAATCCAGAAATCGTACATTAACTGCGTCCATTCATTTATAAAAAGTGACTGCATAGGTTTATGCGGATGTTTTTCTTTCTCTAAATCCGTTCAAAGTAAGATAACTCTATGTATATATCTTGTCGAGTCGTTCTTATTAGCAGTTTCTGCAGACACCTTCGATAAATGCATATACATATATACACATTTATAAACATGCAGAATCCTACTTCAGTAAGTCGGATATGTTTATAAAGTGATTTAATTTAAGGAGACGTCCATGCGTCCCGGAAACGTACGGGTTTCTCGAGCTAGTAATTCTCATCTGTAATGAAATGCTATATATTATCATATCCTGTTCTGCCAAAGGAATACCCAAAAGGGGGATGTAAAAGCGATCAGCGTATTTTCGTTCGTTGGCAAACGACCACGCTCCGCCCACTTTGGAGAGGTATAGCGGCGATCTGGAAAGAGCAAATGTTAATGCCAGACCGTCCAGCCTCTCGCCCGACGCGTGCTTAATCCGTCCTTTCAATGTTACCAGCCTAAGCGTTGAGCTATGTCGTTTCGGCCACTTGCAACTATACACGGGTTATAAAAATCTTATATCTTAGTTATCAATATTTTTTCGCTCGGTTCGTGCTGCGTCCTAGCTAATTTATCAACCCATTTATTGATCTGCTGCTTCGAGCAGTTGTTTCAATCGACTAATAAAACGAAATCCTTACTTACTTTTATTACTTAATTACTTTTATTCACCTCAGGTAGGCCTTAGGTGAAACCATATCACAACATGTCAGTAGCCAATCGTAATGCCTCCCATACATACATACATATATATTTGCGTTATGGACACCTATCGTTCGTTAATTGTTTACATTTATTGAGTAGTACATGTCGAGTGTTGGCGTATACTATGTATACTCGCATTATGACGCCAGCCCTACTGCTAGAACCGATTCGTGGTATGGATGCGCGGTCAATGGCGATAAATGTCCGATAAGGGTGTGGCTTTCCTTCTTACACAGCGGTCGGGCCGAGTAAATGAACAGAGAAAATATAAAGGCGAACGAAAATGACGCCTAAAAGGGATGCGTCCTGACAATCTTAAACGGCAGAAACAGCGGCAGTGACTCAAGAAGTTCGTGTCGACGAACGGTACTGCAATCGTAAGGACTAACAAAAAGGTCAGACAGGTAGCTTTTTGATTTGAATCGTGGGACCCGGTATCGGCCTCCTGCATCGAACAGAAGGCGCAAGGACGAGACCTGTGGTCGCTGTTAGGTTAACAACCATGAAAAATTTAATATGCTACTGCTATACTAAAACTTAAGAAAGCTAAATGATTTCGTTCTTTGTTGTTTGATGCTGTCTCATACTCTTTCGCTGTTTTCTGAAGGGTCATGCTGTCGGTATAAGTGTTCGATACATGAAATAAGGTGCTGCCTCCCCCGCCGCCGGACATCAAAGGATAGGCGTCGTTCACGTTAGCAGTTCCTGTTCCATAGATCGTTTATGGGTATTTACAGTACCGGACTCACTTAGGTGTTAGTATAGCGGATGCAGGCGGCCAGCCTGCGGTCTCCTTTCTATATATTGGACTATTTACGTTTGAAACGAACGACTTTTTTTGTTTGATATAATAAGGGATAACGATTTACTATTCGCACAACTATAGCGGGTTGGTTCATTTACGTGCAGTATATTTGTTTACTTTCAAAGTGTTAGATTTATGATACTTTCTTTTAAATATGTATCTCAAGCAATCGATCGTACGATTACGACTGGTCCTATAAAATTATATTAAACTGTTAATTGTGATCAATCGAGAGATTATTGCTTATGAAGACATTTCGGACCTTGCAATTGGTGCCCATAAAAGCGTAGACGGCTCTAAAATCAGTCGAAACATAGAACTTAGCAATCAAACTTAAGTTAAGCTATTGAACAGTTTATACAGATAATACTATATCAACTTCCTAACACATCAAATATCCACCGGTATCTCAACTTGTCACAGGTCGAGCGAACTCAAACAATCAATCGTATAGAAATCATAGTATTAATAAATCGATTCGATACTCCTAGTAGTGACCCTATCCCGAAAAAGTCAGCTTATTGTTGATATCAGGGTTTTTATTAGCTCTTTTCCAAACTTTGATTCGCGCATTATTTAAGTTGAAGAAAAAGATATATAGTACAGTACTTCGTGGTTAGAAAAAACAAGAGGGATATTTTGTAATAGCTTTATAATTTGTTAATATTTGTACTACTTGGATATATGGCACCCTTCTCAGAAAAAGCAGACTTAAACACTTGACAAAGTGTTGACACTTGACAAACATATTGATACGTTAGTGCAAAATGTGTCGTTGAAGCATGGCGTGATCAGAATACTAATCAATTTCTCGAGATTAGATGACTAATAAGCTAGCCCATATATGGTAGATAAAACCCTGGTTGACGATAACATTCTAGGCAATGGCCGAAATGTGATAAGCATTCCCCGCAAAAGTAACGTTTCTGCCTGATTTTAAGCAAAATACACATTGTATTGTCAGCGCGACACTATCCTTATAGTAGAATTTGTAAGCCTTGAACGAGCAAAATGCAAACTGATCAGTTGTAACGAGGCGACTGCGTACCTAATGAAGGTTTCGAGTTAGGTCGTATACGTTCGGTACTGCCGTTAACTGGTGATTCGGACGGCCCGTTCCAGCGAACAAGACGAAGTTCTCGGTCTCAGATCCCCCGGTTTCATGCTTCTAAATTCGATGAACAAGTATAATAATAATAATACAATATCACCATCGATAGGTAGATCTCGCCCTCTGAGTTTACCATGCTCAATTGACATCTCGGTGATATTCATCGTTTAATTTCGACAGGCGTCTAATACATGTGCATAGGCCAACTCGGTCTTCAGCCTGCGTCAAATAATAGTACATAAATTGAAGATAGGCGTATTTTGGTCCGATGGATACACGACTAAATCTTGCCAGAGATGACATATAAATAAATTAAACGCAGCACAACGATACAAAGAAGATAAATTTCACCACTGTTAAGAAGATCACAGTCCTACTTTGACCCATTTGTCTCTTTTAAACCTCAAGATCAAATGAAAGTCGTGCTGAAGTTCGTTGTGTTTGTGGTTCACATAAACACTCATAAAGTGAATTCAGATTACTGACGTGCTCCATTTTTATGAACACTATGCGATTTTTTGATCTACTTCAATCTTGCTTGAGTGCAGGGATGTTAAGCGAAGTCTGGCCCTTTTATATAAGCATTCGTCCAGAAGAAGTCCAGAACTGCAGATTCAAGCTAAGTACGTGCGTCTTATACCAAAAGATTGTACTTGTAGTAATTAGCCTGATTCCCATATGTACATGCGTGATTACTAGTATATTAGGACTGCATAGAATCTGTGCGTAACAGAAGGATATCTTGCATGGACAACTGTTTCTTTGACCTTTTACATATTTCTCGCCTTTTTTTTGTTCGCATTATATCGACCGACCGACCGACCGACCGACCGACCAAACAAGCGGCCAAACGGTGGCTAACTAACGACGCATTACTTCTGCCAGAGAGTCGAGGCCAGCACAAGTTCCCCCTGGTTAAGGCATAAAATGTCTGATATTGCTAGAAATAGTAGAATATGACGATGGAGAGTAGCACTGACAGTGATGCTGATGATGATGACGGCTGCGGAGATGGTTTGTACTAGCATTTGTAGTGGTAGCAATCATCGTGCACTACGGAGGCGGGCCCATGGAACGTCGTGACGAAGGGCTGCTCGTTCTTTTCTCGTTGTTCCGTCGTCTTTCTCACATCGGCATGAATCGGCAGCGAATGCAACAAAACGGGAGGCTAGACAGACAGATCAGCCACAGTCGCCAACACCTCCCGATCAGCCGATCAACCAACGACCCCAATAACAGGAGAGGGAAGGTAACAGGAATAGGTACCCAAGAAGCCACCGCCGGATCACGGCCCTGATCGAAAGGCCGCCACTGACCGCCGGCTGATCTTTACTGTTGTCGTGCATCCGACTTCAGACTACCTGGCACGAGAAACTGCCTTCTCCAGTCCGCCTTCATAAAGAGTACGTACAATCATCCATATACTAGACTTAAAAATCAACGTAAAAATGGCATAATCAACAACATGAGTCATCGATGTGATAGGCAGTGTCTGAAAATGGTCTGCCGAACTGTGAAGTTTTAGTTGAAGAGTGACTATGCACTGACACAGACGGCCTCTGGGCTTCCACGAGACGTGCTCCTCGTCAGGTGCTATCGCCTATTATACCCTGGTGGATCACGCTAACCTGACGGTGAACGTTGAAAGAAGACGCGGAGCATTTTTCCTGACCTCGGTTTGTGTCATTGGAACTTGCATCAGTTTTGTTTCGATGGTGATTCTTGGGGATTCCACAGAAGAGAGGTCCAACAGTGTAGGACACAGGAAGTGAGATTAAAAGCAAAGCTTAAAAATAACCTGAGCATTGGAAAGCAGCAGAGGAACTGGACACCGATGCATGAAAACGTAGAAAGCTTTAGCCCTCGTTAATGCTCGATGTACAACGAATGACAGTAATATATTCGCAATATGCCTGTTAAGATGGCCTCGCAATAAAACTGGCGCGTGACTTGATTGATGCAGCAGGCCCAAGCACAAAGCTTGAAAGGGTTCTAGGAACAAGGAGAAAGATAGTTCGAAACGATAGAGCGCTCAATGTTCCAGGTGAAATCATTTCGTCGAAAACTTACTATGGCGCTCCCAAACAGACGAAACGAACGCGAGCGCAACAGGGTAAAGCAAGTAAACCAGGGATTTGCCATGCTTCGGAGCCACATACCTGCTATTGCCAATACCAAAAAACTGTCCAAAGTGATCACGTTACGAAGCGCTGTTGATTATATACGGTAAGTGAACGTCTGTTTACGAAATCCTCATTTGCCTAGGATAGTTTTTAGCTGAGCTAAATATAGCGAGAAATTTGTCTCCATTAGGCTGTAAGAATTACATTAGTCCTCATTCATTATTTATATACACTCGACTATTAGCAAATGCTTATCAACTGAAATACATTGTACTGTTTAGGTAAAAACAGGTTGCTCAGTTCAAAATAGCATGGAAAACGGTCATGTGTACGTCTTACACGTAAAATAACGTAACCTACATTGTTAGGTCTTTTACACTTGGTCGCGCGGCAGTTGTATGTATTCCGCCTTACTCCCTGAAGATAGTGTTCGTTCATTAATACCAATACGATCTTTTTAAGGGCAAGGATTGTCTAAAAGTTAACAATGTTTTTTTTTTTAAGTTTATTCATTGACCAAATGGCTAGGAGGAGTGTATCACGCCGCGTAGAGTAGCAGTGTGAGTAGTTGTCTTGCCAATTAGGCCATGCTAGCTGTACTAAATGAACGAGACGCGTTTCGAGAAATGAATTCCTAAACCTGCAGGACCGATGAGCCCTCACCTAGATAAATTTATACTAGCCAGTACACCTGATATGGATACTTACATTTATCGTACGCCCGTATTAGCTATTATGCTGTAGAAATCTGTCTATAGATTACAGAAATTCTGCGGTGCTGATGTCTAGGTCACTGAGCGTTAATAGATATTGTGCAAACGTGTATTCATGAGCAATTAGATAAAGAGTTTGAGCTTAAATCAAATTAGATTTAATTGTTCTATTCATGTTCTAGGACCCTGGAAAGACTTCTGCATGACGATCACCCCCCCGTTTTCATGGAGTTTCCTCAATACAGCCATTGTCCTGCCCAATCGACCCAGTCTCCTGTTGTCTATGACCAAACAGCCACTCCGCCAGCATTGATGCCACCGTTCGAAAGGATCGACAGATTCGAACGATTAGCGCTGCAGGAAGACAGCACGCAGCTGCACAGTCCACCCACGTCGACGGCCGAGTCCTCGGTTAGCGTCGACATGAACGTCGCCATGTCATCGGTCGACTTACAAGCGTTTACCGACGACTGGCACGACTGGCAATGTCGATAAGAATGTTTCCATGCTAGCAGCTCGCGTATTAATCACAAAATAAATGTACATACGAGGTATGACATAATGAGGAGAAAGCCGGAACGAAACAACACCACCTGACAAATCCACTAAAACGAAAAATGTCGTGCCGGAAATATATCAAAGAGGAAAAGCCAATAATCACCTTCTATAGATTTGTGCGCTACAATAAGAATACGTTACCAAGCATAAATACACGCAAGCATAATGGAGCCTAATCCATGGCAGACCTCTCTTACGACAACGAAAATGATAGCACGAAATCGTGCCGCTGATTTGAGAGCGAAAACTGTAACATTGTGCTGTCTCTACAAACGAACCGTATTTCAGGCCATGGCAACCTCAGAGAGAGAAGAAAACGGGCTTTGTAATATGCACGTAGATAGAAAAAATAAATCTAATAAATACAGTATAACTGTGAATGAGGGGTGCACTACGGTGCGTCCATTGGCGGGCATGGTTTGAAATAGTTCCACTTAAGTTGGGAAATGGGGTGACATGCGACGCAAGCGCATATACACACCTTGTTTCGTTTCCGAGTGTATGCATTACATGTCTCAGGAATAGGCGTACGACTATAGCACAATTTCCCCGAGCTAGTATAGTATCAATTTAATTCGTGTCAATGTCACCGATGTAGGAAATAGATAATGGATAGTTGTTATGCGCGTGCCTCGAAACCTTGGCAGTGTAACCTATCTAGTATACAAAAACTCTATAGGGTACTTACGTAGCGTATATATTGCCTCGTACACAACAAACTATACAGAGGCATTATCAAGGATAAGGTTCTATTTACATAATACTAATAATTACACAACGAACAAAAAAATATAAGCTAGTACATGAAAATGGCTTGCGTTGTTAATCTAATCGATAGTAGTAGTTGATCTGGTACCAATTTCCTTACGAGATTTTTCATTTGTGAATATATGTGCCATAGTACACTGTAAGATATCGACGCATCCCATGAAACATGACAATGAATCGTGTGCAATATCGAATATTCCTACCCTGAACAAACACTAATGAACTGAAATTAACCACAAATAAAGCGACAAATGTCAGTTTTCATTTTAATACACAATATTTTAATTTACTTAGAACATTCATGGGCGCTATTTAGCAAGCCTCCCGTACTTAGGACCCGTTAGGTGGAATTCGCTATTTTTTCATACCATAGAAAAATACTAACGTGGTTATTTAAAGCTGCCACTTTTAATAACTTTAAAAAAAAAATGCAAAATATTATCATTCTACAACGAACAATTGTATGACGAGTCTAACTTCCCATGAAAAATTAAATATCATCAATCAGAAGCCAATCAGTATCACACTTCTTTGCAACGGTGCATACGACGCTGATGGGGTCGAGCTTAAATGTCGATTAGGAAATAACTCGTACCACACAACGTTAACCTTCACGTGCTGCTAGTGTCAGTGTCATCCTGGATCTTCCTTTTCTATGAAATATGGCTTAGAATTGCACTTGATGTTGTAAGGCTACGGCCAGAAAAAAAAAAAACGACTATTCTGAAGCAACCTGACAAACCTTGACATTGTGTTACTTCCAGGTAGCCTGCTAGACCTGATCTCGCGCCCGTTTACGTATAGCTGCATAAACTTTATACACTATCCTACGAAGTACGGCCTTGAATCGTGCTAAAGTAGCCTTCTCTCAATAATTATACCATTGATGCTTCAATGAAATAACAAGCGTTTGACACAAAATAATTTCAAGCACCGCCCCTTCTGGAAGACGAAAGCAGCCGTCCTCGGACCGCCTCTTGCCAACGCACGACCCACCGCCACGAGCCGATAGTCATCGCGTCGACAGATGGTGCAATCGAACGAGTTACTACACAGCCACACGCACCTCTAGGGCCGGCGGTCCTTTTCGTGTTGGGCGCCTTTTGGAATAATATACAAATATGATTGCCATTGCTACATGCTGTATAATGTTCAATTAGATAAATGGACAAGAATTGAGCCACGTACTTCATTGTCGTGCCGGCCAACGTATCGGCATCTGGTCCACACGTACGTGGGACGACATCCAGTGTTTGTATTACTTAATACTGCGAAACGGAAATAGGTACAGCTGCTTATCAGTTGACTAATGGCTACTAGCTAGCTAGCACGAAACAGATACAACGTACAATTTGTTTTCTCTTTTCTTCCAATGACCTGGGTTGGCGTGGCAAACCGACGAAGAATCATGATCCAGCGTTTACCAATACAGCCATCAGCGACTGGTAAAATGGCCTTATTAAATCGTTTTAAATAATCTGAAACTTGGATATATAATGATAATCAGATTATCTGAACGTACAACCAGGGGCCGCTCAGAACTTTTGAACGATGTCTGGCCCACAGATTAATTAGCCCAAAAGGTTTAACTGATTTTGGTCGTTGCTTCTGTGAGCTAATGTTGAAAATGGAATAGCCATTTGTTGGCGATACGAGAGGATAGGTGGCTTCAGAAAGCTAAGAAGAAAGCAGCTATACGCTAGGATCACAGGAAGTGAGACATTAGAAAAGCCATATTCATCACGGTTATCTTGTTGTTGTCTTTTATTGCTTCAATTATTACTTTATCAGTGACTGTTGTAGACCTTGGCTGGAATAACATAATTGCCAAACTGAATGTCCATAGATGAGCGTTTCCTCCGTACGTAAGAATATTCACGTATGAACTAGAGAGTCGTTAGAAATAGCGCGACAGGCTGGCTTGTTGGTAAACAGAAAACAACAATCGTGTGAAGACCTGGAATTTTCGAAAGTATACCTAAATTTTAATTAGACTAACCTTACAAGCCTAGCATATTAGTCGTAACTTTCGGTGCACTTGATTTCTGCGTAGGATTGGTGCACATCAGCTTGTCCAGAGGATACCTAGACCAAGCATATCTACGTGCAATGGTTCTGCGTCGATAGATGAAGCCCTCAAGTTGATCAAACGATAAGGCCATACTGACTTAGAATTAGAAAGTCACACCTAGTTCATTAAAGTGGTAGTTGATAGCCAGACGTTCGAACGACTCAGCTCTTGGAAATTTTGGCAGAAACAGGGTGGAGCCATTGGGTTAGTAAAAGAAAATCATCTCTTTCTCCAGAATCGTCAGTTATCATGTGAAAAGACAGCGTGGGGCATGTGCACGCATCTCACGTTCTCCTGAAACGCGTAAATTAGCCTTTGTTCTTTCATACTTCATATCAAACCCTTTGAAATCAAGCCTGCTCAAACAGCTTATAACTATATATAATTGAACAAAGATACCTACAAAGCACTAAATAGATTTTACACATGCAGTATACATACAAAGTCATAACGCAGTTACAACTACAAGTAACAAACAACCCTGATAAACGGTTGCTTCCTGCCGTGTCACCCAACGCAGCCACAGTACCCGTCTGCCATATTTTTTGTTGATCTTCGGCAATTGTATTCCACTCAACCAGTCTTGTTAACCCTTGACCCTGCGAAAGTTCGAAGATCTTTAACTGCACCTCGTCTTATTGGGGACCACCCAGCCAGCTCTCACTGGCACCCAACAATAACAATCACAACAACATCAGCACCCCAAATAGCCGCTACTACCCGAATCCTGACAACCTCAAATCTGAGGGGCTGTTGAATTGGGCGCACCGAGTGGCTATGAAGCCCAGTGATGGCCGGCGTCATCATTAGCATCGGCATCCTGATCACTCTTAGTAACGGCTGTGTCCGCTGCCACTACCGCCTTTTCTAATCGTTTCTAAACAAATAAAATGAAAACGAACGGAAAAAACAAATTTCCTTAATGATCATTACGAACTGCGGCCGACATCACCAGGTCAGCAGTCAGCGCCATCTGGTTCCAACCTGTACCGTTTTCACCAATGACGCTATTGTTTAGGATGTTGTTCAAGTAATTGACGGTCAATAGTCAATGAGAGACTCTATTTCGATGATGGGTGAGGAATCGAATTGCTGAAGCCAATCGAAGAGGTCGCAGCTCATTTTTTCTTTGCTGCCACGGCGGTGGCCAGTCGTTTCTGCACCTTCAGCGTCTGCTAAATGCTGTCGTTCCCGAACGCTTTTCTTTCAGAGTCGGTTGCCAATCCTGTTCATTCAGTGCTCTTCCGTAGCGGATCTTTGCTCACCGGCGTGAGCCATGGGTCATAGTGAGTAGACGTTAACATGCATTAACAAAAATGAAAATTAGAACTGAGCAGAATAAAAGGCACAAAAACAATGGCTTATCTATCTCTTTGTGAGTATCTCGCCCTTCCTGGCGGTTCGCTGAGGACGTCAGCCGGTTGCAGATACGAGAGAAGCTGTCTGTTAGTCAATGCATCTACGTGAAATAAGCGTGCTCTGGAGTAAATCAGCGTTTTATAAAGATCGTGCTTACTCCGGCACGAACCTTTATTAGAATCAAACAGACACAAGCAGTTCAGTGTTCTTATAATGGATACCCTGCGCGACGAAGACGGGATGAATGCGATTTGATCGAGTGGATTTTAACTAACTCCATTCCGATAATTTGACTGTCGTCGTTATTTACCCACCGGCACAGTTTGTAATAATCGTAATCATTAGGTGCTGCTACACAGGCCGTAATTGGTGATGTTATCGGGGCCGCCCAGCAGTCGGATCGGTTGAATGCGGACGTGCGCCCAATTAAAGCGTCCCGCAGCGGCAGCTTCAGTATAAGCCAATAATTTGTTTCTCTAGGTAGCTATCTAGACTCACATACGAGGACATTTGCAATAGGCTTCTGTCCTGTGAGACATCGAATAGTTTGCCGTCGGGTAGGACTCGGGTTGGGCGTTTAATACCTGCTATGACGTTACGTTTACGAAGCTTTTGTGCCGAGCACTTGCTCTCAGTTGGTTTTAATAGTAAGATCGTTAAAATCCCGCTACTTCGGTGTTGCTGTGATGTATGAAGTGTCAGGAGAAGTAAGTTCACCCCGAAAGAAAGCTAGTCTGTGTTGGGTTCAATTATATTGGGTGGATTTCAGATTCGTATAGAATCTGCAACGGCAGCGGTCCGGGGGGGGGGGGGGGGTAATAATTTCCGTCAAACGTACAACGGCAAGTTGCTCCGTGCTGATTAGGCGAAGTCTTAAAATAATATTTCACGTATACTCGACCACAGAGAAAATGCTCGTATTATAATTATGTACTCTAGTTTATTTTTTGCATTTTTGCATTTTCTATGTATACATGTCTTCAGAATCACTTCTTTAGGTATAGCATCAAGGACTTGCCCCCTTTAGAAGTAATTATGCAAACAGCCTTCACCCTTAATAATAATCCTTTATTTTTCTAGAATTCCTTATCTTTTCCCAATAGTCTATGTATGCTGCAAAATAAATTATAAAAAAAACTTAACAGCCTTGTAGATACGCTCCCAACATCCCAAATCTCTTGCAGGATTACTTTTGGAAGAAAAATCCATCCTCAGTCGGATTTCCCTATGATGAAATACGCTCACAACCGTTTCGATACAAAGAACCCAAAAGCTGAAGAAAAAAAACACTGTTTTGGCCGTCACCATTGCGTATTTAGGAGGTATTTTTTATACAAAAAAAAAACAAGTGAATACCTGGAATTATTCTGGATAAGGCTGGTCAAACGATGCGCACCGCTAAAATAAATAATCCAAACTTGATACGCCACACTAACCAATGAAATCATCGGGAAGATTCGCCTTTACGTCTCACAGAAGAGAGTATTACCTGCCATACCGAATCAAGGCTTTTATAGGTCTAGAGACATTATACTTGAACCACAGTCAGTTCCTTTCACTTTAAGGATCAGGACAGAGTCCTATAGATTAATAGTCGTAGCAAGTGCAAAACACTATGCAATTACACATATGAAGGCGTCTCCTTTAAACAAAGAAAGCGATACCATGGATACTATAGAAACATTAATATCTGAGATAAAAATTAAACATAGATGTTCAACGATAAGATAACAGCGGGTGTTTCTTGTATATCTAAGAATTAAATAGTGTTAGATATCTTCAGTTATGTCAACTTATGTCTTTATACAAAAGTTGGGCTTTA